GGAGGAGCGGGTCGGCAGGAGGATGGCGAGCGAGCGGGCTTGGCACCCCCGAGCACGTGACCGCCGGGAGGGGCGAGGGCGGATTGTCCCCTCCTCCGCCCCCCGCCGCCGCCACCGGGCAGGCGCTCCGCAAGGTGATGCTGGTGCCCAGGTGTTTAGCTAGGCGGAGACTAACAGGAGAGACTTTCTCAGAGCTGGAGGACCTTCGAATCCTTAATCTTTCCCGAGGCAGCAAAAAAACGTGGACATAGTAGAATATAGTTCCTCCCACTTGACCCTGGTGTAGAAAAAAAGGTAACACTCTGGTCACCCTCAGGAAACCATGAAGTTTCATAGGTTCAAAGACCAGGCTCCTTTAACCCAAGGCTCTCTGCTGTGCCAAGGCCTGTTTACAAGATAAACTAATACTTTCCAGACTGTAAATAAACTTTTTTCGTGCTGAAATGAGAATTACTTCCGTCATCATAAATACTCCTAATTATACTTTTACCCGTTGTAACTTATACTTTTCATGCGTTTTGGGGGGGTTTTTTTGATTGTTTTTTAAAGTTTTGCCAGGTATGGCAGCACACGCCTTTAATTTCAGCACTCAGGAGATTTGAGGCTACCCTGTTCTATCTACATAATGAGTTCCAAGACGCCCAGGGCTAGATAGAAAGACCCTGTATAAAACAAAAACAAAAACAAACAAAAGTCTTACCTAACAAGTACTTAACGAGGTGCTCACTGCGTGTCTAGTCTGGAGCTTGGAATAAGTAAAACAGAATTCCTTCGTTACCACCTGTTAGGGTGAGACAGTACGTAAACAAAACACAGTCCGCCGCGGTGGTGGCTACTGAAGAAGCAAATACAAGCGTTTTGAGCTTACACAGTTGAACGAACTTAAGTAGTCTGTGGAAGACACTGAGGGAGGTAGGCTGTACAGAATAGGAGTTTACACAGAAATAGGTCATTTAAAAACTGGAGTGTGTGTGTGTGTGTGTGTGTGTGTGTGTGTGAGAGAGAGAGAGAGAGAGAGAGAGAGAGAGAGAGAGAGAGAGAGAGAGATGCATAAAGGCACAACGTACTTGAGAAAGTGTGAGAGCAGATACCGGAGGACTGACCCTTCTCTGAAGCGAAAGGCGAGTGGAGAACACGAAGCTATTTAAAATATCTAACAGACGCTTGTACGTACTCATAGTGTAGGACACCGTTCTGGCATATGTCACAGAGGGCAACTCCAGCAATCTTGGGTGGTACGTAAGCCAGCCGAGTTCTCCACTGAAGACCATTGTGAAGGGGGCTGAAGAGGAAAGAGAAGCCCTCTTATCCTGCACTTTTAGGATCACTGTCTATCAGCATGGAAGAGATTAGAGAGGAAAAGACAGAGAAGAGAGATCGCTAGATGCAGGCGTGTTACAAAACAGAAACAAATAAACAACAGCAAAAGATGGGAAGCTGCCAAAGATGCACAAGCCTGAAAACAAGAGGAAAGGTAGGGGAAATGAGTGTTTGGGGTTAGACTCGGCTGAGATGGTTAACTGGAGTTGATGGGGACAGGGTAGGGTAGAGTGTGTTTAATTTGAGGCCTGAATTGTCAGATTGAGATCTTGGGTGGCTGCTGATGGTGCTATCAAGATTAGCTGGTTTTAACGAGTAAAGCATAGATCTACAGTGAAGGAGCCCAGCTCTGTAAACTCAAAGGCTTCGTATGTGGAGCGGCTGCAGGAAGATCTGCATAGGACCAGTCTCCTCTGGCTGAGCTCTTCACCTTGCCTCATAGCTAGCAGTGCATGTGAGCGGCTTTCTCCCCGCCCTCCCCATTCTTACAGTTGTCTCTCTCAATGTTTCCAGCGCGGTGGGGACAGTCTACACAGTGTGGGAACTTACTGTGATGAAGAGTATAAAAACAGCCGGGTGGTGGCGCACGCCTTTAATCCCAGCACTCAGGTGGCAGAGGGCAGGTGAATCTCTGTGAGTCTGAAGCCAACCTGGTCTACAAGAGCTAGTGCCAGGACAGGCTCCAAAGTTGCAGAGAAACCCTGTCTCAAAACACACACACACACACACACACACACACACACACACACACACACACAGCTTACATAAGATAAGAATGACAGATATTCACAAACATTCTCTCCTTATAGTCTCAGAGCAACTCTAGAAAGTAACTCCTGTTGCCTAATTAAACAGACAGGAGCAGCAAACATCTGAGAGACTCAGCGCTTTGTCCAAGACTGCGCCTGGGGTACAGGGCTTCACCATCTGCAGTTTGAAGTATCTAGTTTCAACTTACATTGATTTTAAAGTGAATTTTTAATAGGATATATATGGTCTACGTACTGCTTAGGAAACAGATGCCCAAGGGAGATGCCTCACCCCGCACTTTTGTTCGGTCAGCTTTGCCTGTGTGAGCAGGTGGCACTGGAAGAGGGGCTCCTGGCTGGGAGCCTTCCTCAGCCTCCTCAAGCTGACCTCCCTGCTCTGTGCTCCAGGCTACCTGAACATCTGAGCAGAAAGGAGAGAATGGAGACAGCTCCAAAGAGCTGACTGGTATCGCTTTTATTTTCCCACAATCAAACTTTCTTTAAACGAAAACGCTGAAACACAGCCTTACTACAAGTGCTCCACATTGGCCAATATCATGGCGTGTGTTTAGAGATGAGTTCTAACATTCGTAAGTGTTTAGATGGCTCTTAAATGGTCCATTTCTCATACAGTTGATGTGGGCAGTATCTGTGGGACCTACAAAATCCATATGATCTGATGCATTTAGGGCCAAATGCTAGAGAATTAAAAAAAAAACCATTGGGTGAGATATATTTAAAAATCAGTGAAGTATATCTTCAATAGTTATTTTACCTTAAATAAATGTATATTCTGTTACCAAACTTTTCCTGTAGGGCTAAGACTTCAAGTATCTAAGCACAATCTAGGGCTTGAAGACAAAAGCTGTGCTCTATAGCTCCACTGAACCGTCTCTGCCGCTCAGAATGGTATGACTGTGCTAACTGGAAGCTGTGTTTGAAACCAAAGCAAGAGTGCTTTGTAACAAATGGACTCTCCTTTCTGTCTAAATAAGAAGGAAAGTTTTAACTTTAACATAGTAAAATTCCATATAACAAGATGATTATCAGCAAGAATTACAGTTGCAACATTTATAAATACTTTATCTTTCATCATAACTAAGGAAAACTATAATTATAACTATTTTTTCTTCAACTCAACAAAGAACTCAGAAGGATATAATATTATTTAATTAAACAGGAAGTGCATTGTAAGCAACTTCCAAAATTCTAGAATTGACAGAGACATCTTGCTGCCTGGACAGTCACCCAAAGTTCTTCTGTACTGTTGGGGCATCCATCTTCAGCCTACAGGCCCATAGTATCCAGCAGACTTTTTCACGAAACAAGAAATTTGAAGATCTGTTCTACCTTGTAGTGGTAAAAACCATCAGTTGCTTTCTTCTGTGTCCTGCAGAATATCTGGCAGACTCTTTCACGTAGCAGGAACCCTGAAAAACTGTATCACCTTTAGGCAACTTCAGCAGTCATTTCTCTGAGGATCCTTCATGTCCAGTTCGTACAGCATAGCATCAAGCAGTCCAGGCAAGAGCAATTTCTTACCCAAATGGCTAACCAACCCCGTAAGGAGTCTCTTTGGTGCCCATCATCCTCTTGAAGTAGCATGGTACTACCAGGAGCAGATGTGTCTCACTATCATGACAATTCCTATGTTCTTAAACATTTTAAATGCCTTTCAAATGTAGTCTTTGAAAGGTTTGAAGAACACCTATTCATCCAAAAATACATCTCAGTACATCTAGAAAAATCTAACTAACATGACTACAAATTTGACTATTATAAATGACTATTAAGCTATATTTCTTAATTACACATTACATTTTTAAATGAGGTGCACAAACACAATAACTTAATCAAGAATAGAAATATACATGTAACAAAATTGACCTTAAATTTGTGTCAATAAACCAAGATTCATACCAATGCAAATCTCTATAGCATATCCCCCCTTAAATGTAAACAAACATTTATAGACAATATTTGGAAATATGGGTGTATTTCTCTCCAAACTGCTTCCTGGTTTTTGTTGGACAAAGAATTTTTGGGATGTTCATGGTGATCTTTCAGGGGATTTTGGTGCATCAAACCACATTACTTTGGAATTAATCCACAGGTTCTCATCTTCTGTGGAAGCAAAAGCAGAACCTCTTTTCCAAAGCAAGTTGTCCTTAGACCCATATTTAAGTCAAGACACCTTTAAGACATATATGCTGGTTTAGCTTAGCAGCCTGCACAATGAAATGTCTCTCTGTAGTTAGTTCCTTCACAGTCAAAAAATTCAAAGAAAACACAATAAAATACATAATCCAGATTCTCTGTGTATATTCCATCTTTGCATGGCTTATTTTTCTTTACTCCAATTACTTTTTCTACAAGTTTACTCTGTTTCTTTAAAGACTTAGCTTTATTTTTTGTTTGTTTGTTTGTTGCTACCGCTGAATCAGGAAAAACCTTTCTTAAAGGAGCCACAGTGTTAAGCTGTGCTTAACTATGTTCTTTTGTGTCTGGAATTCCTCTCAGGTTTT